AGTCTCAATTATAGCTTTACCTCTTGATTCCACCACCAATCCACTCGAATCTAGTCATAAGTTGCTTAATTACATTAATAAATGCTAAATGAGTCAACCCCAATGCATGAAAATGAGTTTTTCAAAGTTTTACCCAAAAGTCAAATATTCACCCCCGGGCCCACGTGGTCCCAACCCGAGGTTCAGACCAAAACCCGATTACCCATTCCCCCACAAATTCAAATATATGGTTTATTTTGAAATCAGACCTCAAATTGAGGTCCAAATCTCTAATTTTAGAAAAACCTAGGTTCTACCCACATCACCCAATTTCCCCATGCAAATCTTTGATTTGAAGTTGAAATCATGTTAAAAGATGTTAAGAAGTGAAGAAAATAAGTTAGAAATCACTTACTAATCGTTTCGGAGAAGAAAAGTTGTTTGGAAAATCGCCTCTTATGTTTTGGGGTTTTGAAAAGTGTAAATAACTGAAATTCACGTGTATTTATACCCCTCTGAAGTTCCCACCGTGGACCGCGACCACGCAAGTTCCCTGAAGACCTGCGGATCATTGCCCCGTGCAGACCGTACCAAGCTGACCGCGGCCGCACAACACCCACCGCGGACCGCTCAAGGCGACTGCGGCCGCACGTGATTGCTCGCGGACCTTGCAAGAGGGTTCAGAGACCTATGAAAATTCCTGAACCTGCAACATCTGATCTTTTAAAGCCTAAGGCATCCCGGAACCTATTAGAAACTCACCCGAGCCCTCGAAACTCTAAACCAAGCATGCACACTACCTCAAAAACACCCTACGAACATATTCGTGTGATCACATCACCAATATAACATCATGAACATCGAATTGAGCCTCAAGATCAATGAAATTTCTCAGATTTCCTTTTAAAAATCAATTCTCCCAATTTGGGTCCGGATCACGTCAAACGACGTCCGTTTTTTACCAAACTTTACAGGAGTGATTCAAAACATATGTAAGACTCGTACCGGGCGCCGGAACCAAAACACGGGCCCGATACCATTGCTTTCTATCATATTTCATTTCCATTTTCTTTAAACATTTTCAGAGAACAATTTCACTTAAAATTCATAACTCGGGCTGGGGACCTCGGAATTCGATTCCGGGCATACATCCGAGTCCCATATTTTCCTACGGACCCTCCGGGATCGTCAAATCACGGGTCCGGGTCCGTTTACCTAAAATGTTGACCAAAGTCAAATTTATTCATTTCGAGATCAAAACTTAGCAATTTTCACAAGATTTCACATTTAAGTTTTCCGGCTACGCGCCCGGATTGTGCACACAAATCGAGGCGACTCTAAATGAGGTTTTCAGGGCCTCGGAGACACAGATTTCAATTAGAAACAGGTGATGACCCTTTTGGGTCGTCACAAGAAATCATGGGTGTGGGAGGGAAACGTCGGTGAAGGTGTGAGAATTGGAGAGAGAAACGTGAGGGGAGTGGTATTAGAAGGAGTATACAGTACCATTAAATTAGGAGTGTAATTAATACCCTTAAAAACCACTAATGGTATATAATTGGTAATTAGGTATACTAAATATAATTATATCAAACCTTAAACATTGAGGGTAATATAGTTTCCTATATGGCATAGGAATGTAAAAATTCCTTTCATATATACTCCTGAGAGCCCATTTGGACATAGATTTTTTTTCCCTCTATTTTATAATATGTTTTTACTTTTTTTTCGAAATCAGCGTTTGTTCATAAAATTTCTAATTTTCACTTGAAGATGCATTTTGAAAATTTTCGAAAAATTGAAAAACTCTAAAAAGCTGTTTTTCAAAATTTTCACCACTCACAAAAATTCAAAACGACCCAAAATTATATTCATGTCCAAACACAATTTTTTATAAATTTCAAATATCATTTTCACTTGAAATTTTTTTTCACATTTTTTTTTGGAATTTTACAATTATTATGTCCAAACGCCCACTAAATAATGGGTTTTGACATAGTTACCCACAAAAACAAAACTATTTACCCATTTATTTTTCTACCCATAAATTAATTATATTTCCTACCCATAGTAGTTTTTGTGGGGAATTTTTTCTTTATTCTCCAATTCTTTTTAATTCTATGCTTCTTTTCTTTTTCTTTTTTTTCTTTTTTTTTTCTTTTCTCTTTTTTTTTTCTTTTTCTTTTCTCGTTTTCTTCTTACTTTTTTCTTTTTTCCTTTTTTAATTTCATTTAACTTCTTTTTTTATATTCTTTTCTCTCTTCATAATCTAATTTCATTTACCGTTTTTACTATTTTTTATTATTCTTTTTTTATACTATTACTAAAGAAAAATTAAACTGTGTGCCAATTAAATGTAGCTAATATAACCAAAAAATATTAACTAACATATGATACCAGTATAGTATATAGATATACCAACAGGGTATACAATTGTGCGCAAAGAGTTAAATTTTTTTTATTCAATTATTAAACTGAAATAATATCACTTGTCAATAAAAATTTCAAAAAATTCTAAAAGGATCTAATTGTAAGAGTATACCATTACATTATATATCATGCTATAATATTTTTTTTTGGCATTTTTAATTTGCCCCTCACGTAGGGTAAAAACTTAAAGCAAATTAAAAGGGAAAAGACAAGTGAATTTACGGGTAATAAGTATACTATTACATCATACTGTTACAATATATTGAATATTATTATAGTATATACTATAATAATATATTGTATACTATAATAGTATACTGTTGCAGTATAACTATATACTCATATAGTATATTATATACTGTAGCAGTATACTGCTAGGTAACTGTGTTCTTCTTCGATTATTACAATATACCGTTGTAGTATATTATATACTATAACAATATACTATTGTAGTATAGCTATATACTTCTACAACATATTGTATACAATAGTAGTATACTGCTATGTAACTGTGTTCTTTTTCGATTTTCAGCTGAAAATTTCGATCTCGATCACTTCAGATCAGCTCCAACTGCGATCAAATTTCAGTATGAATTTTCAAAAGGTACTATAAGCAATATTTAATAGCAACAGAATCATAATTAAATTTTTTCAGGAAATGACTCGAACTAGAATAATTAGCGACGAGAAAATATAAAATTTATAGGGAGGGAGAGAGCATTTTGTGGCGATGAAAGGTATTCAATAGGCGATGATTTCATTCAGCAAGAGAAAATTAAACTACATGCGTGTAATGAGTTAATTGAATTATAATTTATAGATATTGAGCAAATCTAATTTTTTGTATACACAAAATCATCACATAACTAAACAAAAACTGCTACTCCTTGCTCCCATTAATTATCAATATTTTACTTTGTGAATATTATAAAAATATAGCCTATCAGATAAATAATTTTACTTACGAAGATAGAAGCAAGAACAAAGAGAGAAAATCGATGAAAAGAGAAATAAAATGTTTCTTACTTTGGATTGAAGGAAGAAAGGTCTCATATAGGTTAGGTATAGATTCGTTGGCCCTGAAGTCTTTAAAAACTTTCTTAATGGATGAATATGTAATAATTTTATATGGGATAGACATGTATAATAGTTATTATTCAAGTGGGCATAACCGGATAATTAGTTTTAGTTTAATAGTAGACTCCATAAATTCTTCCTAAATAATCCTATACATTGACGGGGCAGAATGGGCCCGGACCTACCGACACAAATCTTGCGAGGTAAGTTTCCAAAACTTGAAAGGAAAAATAAAAAAGTTCCCCAAACGCTCCTCATATAAAAGCGCAAAAGCGGCGCCAAACGGGACTTTACCACCAATTCCAAAAGTAGATGAAGCAGGAAATTGAAGAAGAAAATGGGGGATTCTCAGACCGATTCGAACTTCTTCAGTGTTCGAATTGTTTCAATAGACTATTACATGGCCGCTCCAATTCCTGGCTTCGACATTTGTTACAGCAGTTTCCAAGGTATGCGTAACTACTCGCACGCTTGAATTAGGACGCACATCACATTTTTGTGATCGTTAATTTCGTCTTCCTTGGAACAGGTGGGAGAGTTAATGAGGTTCCTGTGATCAGAGTGTATGGTGCCACTCCAGCTGGCCAGAAGACCTGTTTGCACCTTCATGGAGTAAGAATTTTTACTTTATTCTTTACAATTTTTAGTATTTCTTATTCCAAAGACCAAACAAGTGGAGAAATAGTAGTACTTAGGTTTTGATGTATAAGGAAAATTAGACATTCAAAATTATGCCAACTATAGTTAGTAAAGTTGTCACACGATGATATTTTGGGAAATAGTGGCAGAGGATAAATTTAAGGACATTACAAGGTTAACTAATATGGATTAATATTTGGTAGATTTATTAAAAAATGTAGCGAGTGAAAGAAGGATCCCTACATAATAATTTATTTTTGATGTGGAGGAGAGAATATAATATAGTGCCAGGAAAAATCCAGTGGTGGGTGACTAAGAAGAAAGCAATTCATTCTAGGTATATATATTCCATAAAAGATTTGTTTGAAAGAGTGATGAAAATTGTGAGAACAGTGAGAAGAGATACATGGGAGTTTCTTGGAACTATAATTTTACACCAAGGGCTTTGAGACTGAACTTGTTTACCCTAGTTATAGATTAGTCAACCAGTATTATATATGATGAGATATTGTAATGCATGCTATTTGCAGATTAAATTCTGTTAATGAGAAAATTAGCGAGGGAGTCAACCAAAAGTTAGAAATATGGAGAAACACTAAGGGAGTAAGAGCTTTAGGATGACTAGAAGTAGGATAGAACATATGCACTGCAAGATTAGACCCATAAGAAGAATGAGGTGGAATGAGATAAGATGAGATTGTAGTGTCTAAATGTTGACTATTCAGATATCTAGACTCAGTTTTCTCGGAGAATGACATAAGATGAAGATGTAATAGGTAAAGTTATGATAGGATGGATGAAATAGAGGAATGTCGTAGGAGTGCTCTGCGATATGAATATACCTAGCAAAGTGATTGGAATTGCTAGTGCTACAGCGAACATGAATGATATTTTATCAGTTCTCGACGACAAATGTTTTGATGTTGATCAAGATTTGTTTTATTATATTAAAAGGAGAGTTATCTTTCTAGTTTCGTGAAAAATTATCATTTTCAACAAGATGCTTTAATCCTTTGAGTAGGATTATAAGAAGGATCTTATAAGAAGGGGGGTGAATTGTTATTTGCTGTTGGCACGTTCTAATTAAAAAAAAGATTGCATGCTTAAAGGAGAAGAATGCTTGTCTGTTAAAGATTTTTTTTGTTTAATCCTGTTTTGTCTTGGCATGAAATATTCTTTGCCACCCTTCTCATAAAAAGTTGTTGACATGAAATTGAACAAGTTAACTTTTCCATACAGAATATTTGCTCTTGACTTTCTGGCTGAACTAACATGCATCATGTTGCAGGCTCTGCCTTATTTTTATGTTCCATGGTCAGATCTCTTCCTCCAATCAGATCAAAAAGGTAAATGTACCTTTTAATTTCTCTCTCTTTTTTTCCGGGCCCATGGTGTGGAGAGTTAGAGGAAGGGGAACTGGTATGTGTTTGATCCCAAAACTCGTTACTTATAAGAGGAGAAACTGTTTATTGGAATGCCTTTATTTTGGTTAATCCAAAAAGAAGTTTCAAATTTCATCTAAAAGAAAAAAGGAAGTTTCAATTGGAAAATGTTAAAAACTTTTGGAATGCCTTGAGTTATGCACTTTGAGTGATTTTCATTAGGTTTTTGTAGTATGAAACTCTGGGGTGCGTTAGTAGTTCACCTAGTGTGTAGAATGTAATCAGCACAAGTAAACACAAAATTGGGCAGGTATAATAAATTTTAGAGGCTGACTGGATAATTTCGTTTCTACTAACATTGATCTTTCACTATGTTTCTTGTATTTAATTTTCTGGATTCAAGATCGGCTAGGGAGTGAATGCACGAATGCTCTAGCTCTTGCTCTTGAGAAGGCGCTCAAGGTAAGTCTGATCGCAGTGGAGTGTCTTCTAAGCATTTGAATTTACAGGTGACACTTTTCTGCAAATTGCTGCTTCAACTTATGCATGAACTTGTTTTAAATTTTCTTTCAGCTTAAAGGCAATGCTGGCTCAAAACGTCAACATGTCCATGGCTGCAGCCTTGTACGAGCAAGGAAGTTTTATGGTTATCATTCTTCTGAGGAACTGTTTGTGAAGATCTATCTGTATCCTATGATTTTACCTTGTGCCAGTGATTGTTTGCTGAGAATTAATGTAATTAGGTGGTAAACAGGCATAGTAAATTCAATAATAAGTATGGCTAGGTGTTCCTCTGTCTCTTTTTTTTTTTTTTCTTCAAGCCTTGGGGTTCGTTAAATAACTTTCCCTGGATAGTCATTCAACCTGCTATGGAATGAAGCTTCTTATTCTTTTAGGATGACTAGTAAAGAGTTTAGTATGTAGTTTTCTTATACTCTCTCCATCTCATTTTATACATGCTGGTATGATTTTCACGAAGTTTTTAGTGTAAAATGCTGGAATGATTATTATATCGAGCCTGGTAGGGAAGCGTTTAAGGCGTGAAAAATTTAAGAGTTGCTTGAGAAGATGTAACTTCAAATTTGAAGTAATATAAACTTGTATTACTTCATGTAACTTCAAATTTGAAGTAATATAAACTTGTATTACTTCATATTAGTTTGAATTTCTGGACAAAAAAATGCTTTCATTGTAGGAACGAGGTAATATTTTTGGGATGCACCAAAATAGAAAGCAGGTCAGATAAAATGAGACACATAATATTGCTTGAGAAACTATTTGGTGTTGTGCTCATGTCTTTATTTATTTTGAGGTTTGCCTATGAGTTCCTTGACATAAATATAAGCTATCATCCACAGGATGTCTCGCGTGCTGCCAATCTTCTTCTGGTACGTGTTATGAGTCCTTATTATTCTAGGTATTTTGGTCAAACATAACAGAGCTAACATTTGCTTACTTCCGAAATTTCCTAACATCGTGCCTTTGTGATTCGTGATGTAGAAATTTAGGCAAGACATATTTTTACGTGATAAGGTGCATGTTATAGTTTCTCTTTTTGTAGGTTTTCAACTTTTTGATATATGGGCTTTTTTTTGGCCCAAACATTTAATAAAATTTATTACTTTAACTAGAGTTTGATATATCGCCAGTCTCTTGCATTAAAGTAAGATATATTCTTGGTGCATGTTACGTTTTTTTTTGCCCAAACATACTTCACCAGTCTCATGCATAATCTTAACTAGAGTTTTTTTTTCTCACACTGTGGTGCTTGGTCTACACAAAAATAGTTAATTTATTCCTTGGTAAATTAGAGTGTGATATATCTGCTAGCTTAATGTTGTTACTGGCAAAGAAACACCTGTCTCCTTGACACCTGAAGTTTCTCTCAATGCCCTTAATACCTTAGGAATTGAAGGATGGGCAATCATTTTATATTTTATTGTTATCATTAAATTTTTCTGTTCCTTTTATGCAGGGAGGTGCAGTAATGGATAAGTCATTACAGCCCCACGAATCTCATATACCTTTCCTTCTTCAATTCCTGGTAACTACCTTTTAATTCATGGATAGTAAACTCCTATATGACATACTAAAGTGATGGGGGTTAAAATTTTTCCAGGGGCAGTGGGAAAGTTCTATCTCAAGCATATATCAAGTTTAGAAGTACTTAAAAGGCGAATAGAGATGTAAAAATTGTTAATTGGGCAGTTAGACAAACTAGTATTCGCAGCAAGTTCATCTTGTGATGATCACCTGTGCATTAAAGCAATTGACTGTTTTACTTGGCTCTCTTTGTGAATATCAGAAGCTATAGGCTCTTTTTGTAATTTTTTGTTGGTGTTATTCTTGAGGTCCCCGTGTCAGATCTCAAACTGATATCAGAACATGTTTCACCTGTTATTTTATTCTATTGTCAACCGCTGATTCTTAGTTTCAGAAATCTAGGTTGATTACTCAAAACTAAGAAAGCAAACTGTAAATATATTGTTAAATTTGAAAAATAAGTGATTCAAAACTAAAAAAGTAAAGTAGTTGACTCTTAAGAAGAAATGTTTTAGTGATTTCCCAAAACTAAGAAAGCAAACTGTCTGATCTCTTTCTTTCTTTTTTATTTCAGATTTTGTGGTTAACTGAAAATATTTACATCAAGATATGCTGCTGTGTACTTGTCTCCATATATCATGATAGTTTACTTTTACGATTTTCTTTTTGGGTAGACTCTCGTTGTTAATAACTGGTGGTGTTGGACATGCACTGAAGTATGAAGATATGGCATCTTAGTTCCTAAAATTTCTGCATAGGTGGATGTCATATACTATCTTTACAAGTGCATTAGAATGCAGCCTTACTTTCTAATAGAATTTGAGATTCCCTTGCTTAATTCTCTCTCTGGCTTAGTTATAACATGTTCTCTTCCCTTTCATGCATAAAACGTGCAGGTTGACTATAACTTGTATGGGATGGGTCATCTACATGTATCAAAGATGAAGTTCCGCAATCCAATACCAGATACTTTCTCTCCAAGAAAGGCTAAATGCTTTGACAGAAGAAGGTATTCTGATATGTCCACTTCCATGACTGCAGAGTTTCAGGTAAAAGTGCATTCACACTACAGTAGATACATGTTCTGTTAGTTTAATCCTGCTACAAATTAAAGCATAAAATATTGATTACCCAGTGTCACGGGAACTTTCTATTAGGTTGATTTAGGTGGTGAGGCTTGTTTCAACACACCAATTTGGGTGTCTTCTACAATTCCGGACAATTGGATATGGACAGGCTCTAGTCAGGCTGATCCTTCAACAGATCCGGATATCCCTAACATTAAGCGACAAAGTATCTCTGAACTTGAAGGAGATGCTATTGTTGATGGTTGGTTGGTTTTCATGACTTGATAGACAACTTTTATGTATTTGCACCTTTGGCTTAATTGCTAAGTTCGTTATATGCTTATGCAGCAATTCTGAATCAGCAGTTTATATCCTGTATGTCCCTTTCACAGACCAGCTCCCAAGAGAAAATGGTTCAGTCACTAATACCAATTTGGGAGGTTTGTCAATAGCCAAGTTTATTGAGGTCCATTTGATTTTTTATTTTATTGAGGTCCATTCGATTTTTTAAATCATTCTGGTGTATTTTATATGCTATTTTCTTGTATCAGGAGGAGTTTGCAAGGAATGGGGTGCACGAAGTGGGCTTGCCTCCTGATCCTGGTAAACCCCTTCGAGATGATGTCTTGAGAACACTTTCTCATGGGCTTGGATATGAAGAGATTCTAATGGAATTAAGCAATGATGTGAACACTTCTTCTGATATTCCGCAGTCAATCAACTCATCAATGAATGATGGGAGCGTTGCCAAACATGTACATTGTGGCTCTTTAAATAGTATACGGGAACCATCCCGATGCTCAGAAGAAGGGTTATTTCAAGATCATGTTGTTGTTGAATCAAGGGAGAAAACGGATGCATGTCCCAAGCAGATGTTAGCTGATAAATTGAAAACAGCTGTTTCCGTGGTACCATCACAGGATTTGAAGGTAAATTAGCTCCTGGTTAACTCTTGCTCATTCTATGCAAGATGGATTTTGTTTTAGATGTTGTTACTTTGTTTACTAGGGCTCATGCTTTGCTTGGATGTGATCTCTGGTTGGACATGCTGAGCATTTTTTTATTTTGTTTTTCTTTGCATTACATTTCTTAGCTCTTCCAAGTAGCCAATTCGTAATCTTCAGAATCCATTTCTGATTCATATTGTTTGCAATTTAGGCTTCAGATCAGGATGCCTTGAGACTTCTAAATTGGCTTGCATCTTCTCAAGCTTCAGAGGACATAAACTCCGATGATGACCTTGCTCGGGAAATCATTTTGAGTCCTTTAATGCCAGCAGCGACTATTAATACGGTGTTGGAGAAGGCAAATGTGGCCTATGAGAATGAATCTCAGCAAGAGTGTGAGGACATTCTTGATTCTGTTCATGGTTGTCATTTTGAAGAATTAGACAAAAAAGCTTCTGAGTCCATCAGCAGTGATCGTTCGTGCAGAAGTTCGCCGGCTGTGATGATTCCTCAGCTGGATGGCTCCAATGATGATCCAAGCCCACATAGAAAACTCGGAACATCTTCCCAAGCAGATTCATTGAATAATGCTAGTTTAGCCATTAGCAATAAACACAAAAAGAAAAAACCAGGATGGTGCTCTTTACCCATTTCTTTGGGTCAAAATGTGAATGATTGTTCACATCCAAATCCAGCTAACACATCTAGCAATCACATTTGTGGCGAAAGAGATGACAGAGGAACTTCTTCTCACATGAGTTTTAACAAATACCCTAATTTTCTAACGGGAAGTTTGAATGCATCTGCTAATTGTGAAATGGAAGCTAGTATGATAGTTGAATGCTCTACGCGTGATTTGATGAGGGTAAAAAGATCCTATCATGCTGAGTCTCCTGAGTATGAAAATCAGGTAAAAAAAGTACAACTTGGTGCAAAAGGAAAAGAAGATTCTTTTCTTTATGCAGAATCCAGACATGATGAGAAAGAGAAAATGCCTCTTGATTCCTTGATATCTCGATCAGCATTCACGGATCAACCAAAAGAATGACATGAGAGGAACTCATGTCTTGCACTTCAGATGCAGGCTGATCCTGGTGATATCAAAGCTGACAAATCTAATTGTCCTTCATATGGTAAGTTGCCTCTTTCATCCTGCTCTCTGCTGGCAAATGCATTAAAAGATGGAGTGTTTCTTTCTTCTGAAGGACCTCATGTTGATGTTGTCAGCAGAACATCTGCAAGTTTGCAAAATTATGGAACTAGTGATGCATCCACCTCACAGGGGACTAAAGAACTATTCCAGCTTCCTGATGTTGAGAATAAAAAATCTGCCATTTACATGGGAAGCTGTGGATGCTCTAGTCGCGAAAATGTTGACAGCTGTGTGAAATGTACTAAAACTTCAAATTCTGATCTTTGTGCTTCTGTATTTGCTCCATATTCTCAGTTCGCATCTGAAACTGAAGGTAAATTTACTGGTTTTGGGAAATTGCTGCAAAAAAATGCAGTAGGTTTAAGTCAATCTCCTGTTGGTCCTAATAGTCCAACATCTGCAGTAACTGGTGTATCTGGTGACTCTGTGGAACTTATAGGCATGACCTTCATCAAGAAACCTCCTAAGGTGGAGTTCACAGATGAACCTGGACGGAATGCTCAGTTAGCATGTGGTGCCCCTAGTTACCATGTGGGGAACAAGAGAAATAAAACAAGGACATGTGCCAAGGATAGAGGTTTAAATGAATGCTCCCCTTTCTTTGAGGGGAAATGCCTAGCAGGAGAAAAGATTTGCAGTACTAGTTCTGGAACAAGCAACTACATTCATTGTCAAGACAACATGTTGGGTGTACCCATTCACTATCAAAATGATGGGTCTTATTTATACATGCTGACTCCTGTATATTCACCACCACGAAGTGAATGTGTTCAACAATGGCTGTCACTTGATTGTATAGAATCTTCTAAAATGAATGTAGTTTCTGGTCCACCAGTGTACCCGTCAATAAAGGTTTGCTCTGATGATGTAGCAGAATCACAGGGTTCTCAATCCACCTTTGGTGATCAACCTTTGATGGATTCTGTCTCTGCTTCAGAACCAAATCCAAATGATCTTCAAGCTAAAGAAACTTATCAGGAAAGCAATAGTGTACTAATGAATTCTGTTTCTCCCCATGCTAGAATAAAACAACAAAATGAAGATATTATCTTGAAATGTGAACCATCAATGCGTGGCTCTCAAGATCTCTCCCAGATATCCGGTCCTGATGGAAAATCAAGGCTAACTCCTTTAAGTCAAACTGGTTTTCGGGACCCTTCTAGTATCGGTTGTGGACAGCAGTTAACAATATTGAGCATAGAGGTCCAAGCAGAATCCAGGGGTGATCTGAGACCTGATCCTCGAGTTGATGCCATAAGAATTGTTGTTCTCGTTTTCCAGGAAGATGATGATCTAAGATCTGATACTCACGTACTTGTGCATTGCAATGGTGAATCTGTTCAAAAAGACCTTGATGGATTATCTGAGTGTAAAGTTTTCACTTTCTCTGAAGAGAGGCAAGTATTTGTTCATTTCATAAAGATGATTAATTCTTTTGACCCAGACATACTTATGGGCTGGGATATTCAAGGCGGTTCCCTTGGGTTTCTTGCTGAACGGGCTGCATACCTTGGCATTGGTTTGCTTAACAAAATATCTCGCACTCCATCAGAGGGCAATATAGTTTCTGGAGAATCTGAAGGAGGAAAACTAAGTGATGTTTTTTCTGAAGCAGTTGCAACTGACCCAATGTTTCATGAAGATGCTGCAATAATTGATGATGAATGGGGCCGAACTCACGCCAGTGGTGTCCATGTTGGGGGTAGAATTGTCCTTAACATTTGGCGGTTGATGCGTGGCGAAGTGAAGCTGAACTTGTACACGCTTGAAGCTGTGGCTGAAGCAGTGCTGAGACGGAAAGTTCCATATATTCCTACCAAGGTATTGACAAATTGGTTTTTAAGTGGTCCTGGACATTCAAGATACAGATGTATAGAGTATGTTTTAGAGAGGGCAAAGCTGAACCTTCATATCATGAATCAACTTGACGTGGTAAATAGAACATCAGAGCTTGCACGGATTTTTGGCATTGACTTTTTTTCAGTTCTTTCAAGGGGTTCACAGTACCGTGTTGAATCAATGTTTCTGAGGCTGGCTCATGCACAAAATTATGTTGCTGTTGCTCCTGGAAACCAACAAGTTGCTTCTCAACCTGCCATGGAATGTATACCCCTTGTCTTGGAACCAAAATCTGGATTTTATGCAGACCCTGTTGTCGTTTTGGATTTTCAATCACTTTATCCATCTATGATAATTGCATATAACCTCTGCTTCTGTACTTGCCTTGGTAAAGTTACTTCTGCAAAAACTAATATCCTCGGTGTTAGTTCATATTCACCTGATAAAAATGTGATGCATAATTTAAAGGATGAAATACTGCTCACTCCAAATGGTGTTATGTATGTGCCTCCCAAGGTCCGGAAGGGGGTATTACCTCGCTTATTGGAAGAAATTTTAGATACTAGGATTATGGTTAAAACAGCAATGAAGAAATTGGCTCCTGGACAGCAAGTTCTTCATCGGATATTCAATGCGAGGCAACTTGCTTTGAAGCTAATAGCCAATGTGACCTATGGGTATACAGCTGCTGGATTTAGTGGACGCATGCCCTGTGCTGAGCTCGCTGACAGTATTGTCCAGTGTGCCCGTAGAACATTGGAAAGTGCAATTTCATTTGTTAACACAAATGATAGGTGGAATGCTAAAGTCATATATGGTGATACAGACAGGTATTAGTTTAAGCCGACTATCTATTTGAAATGCTTGCCAGGTTTTAAAATCTCAACAAGCAGTAATAGATATCTAATACTTGCATTGATCTTGAAATGCTACATGGTTTTGAGTTACACGAAATAACAAGGAGGTGTAATGTAATGGAAAATAATATAGAAGCCATGTAATGCAAGCTTTATTGAAACATGTAATGATGATGAAATGAGTTTATTCATGCACACACACTTGCTGGCTTGAAGATTATTTTTTATCCAATCAGTCTAGCAGAAAGTCTAATAATTTTTGTGGCTTGCCGACTTTGCACTTTTTGTGTCTGACTGAGCTACTCTGTGATCTGTAATGTCATATGTAGATAAGGGATGGTACTGGAATTGGTAACTAAGTTAGGATTGCCAAATAGTTTAGGACATGAGGGATGGTACTGGAACTGATAAGGGATGGTACTGGAATTGATAAGGGATGTCTATATTTAGGACATAATCAAGTTCTCACTAGCATGTTTTGATTGCACTGTATGAGATGTTTTTCATTTCAACGACCATCTGAGAGTTACCTAGTACCTGTCGCTGGTGAGAGGTCGCAGGTATCCGATGGAATTAGTCGAGGTGCCGGCAAGCTGGCCCGGACACCACAATTATCAAAAAAAAATAAAAAAATTCAACGACCATCTGATCTTGTCTGTGAATGCTACTGGAAATTGGTTGTTGATTTTTGGCTATAAAGCAGTTTTGAAGTGTCCATGTATAGTACAAAATCAAGTCCGCAGTAGCATGTTTTGACTGCATTTTGTATGAGATATTTCTGAGTTTAGAAACATCTGATTTTGTCAGTGAATTCTTTTGGAGAAGGATTCAGAGAGAGACGTTGAAATGTAGACTAGAAGTTCAGCAACCAGCTTTTGCTGATTCGCTGTCAAATCAAAACGTAGTTTATTCTATTGCAATATGAAGCACGAGCTGTTAAGTTATTTCATTTTCTTTGTAGCATCTTTGTTCTCCTCAAAGGATACATGTTAAACAAGCTTACAAGTATGCCACAAAGGTTGCACCTGTAATGAACCCTTATACAGTCACATTAGAAAAGGAAAAAACATGGATTCATTCATCAGATTTGATGTGTTGCCCTTGATAATTTAGAGTTCATTTCTCCCAGTATTGTTTTGTTCTCGTTCTTCAAGGTTGATCCATGCTTTTGTTTTCGCAGCATGTTTGTACTCCTTGAAGGACGGTCCATTGAAGAAGCTTTTAGAATTGGTCATGAAATTGCATCAGAAGTAACTGCAATGAATCCAAATCCAGTCACGTTAAAGATGGAAAAGGTTTATGATTCGTGCTTCCTCCTTACTAAGAAACGATATGTTGGTTATAGTTACGAGAACCTTGGCCAAAGCAAACCAGTGTTTGATGCTAAAGGTATTGAGACAGTACGAAGAGATACATGTGGGGCTGTGTCCAAGATAATGGAGCGCTCTATAAGAGTCTTTTTTGAATATAAAGATATTGAGAAGGTAATCTTCATGTGTACGGACCTATGTGGCTTCCTTCAGTGTTATTAAATTCGTTGAATATTTAAAATCAACAAAGTTAGAGAACATGCTTGAGTAGTGCTAGGGGCTCTATAGCAAGTTCTGCCAGATAAGGACATGTCTGTCAATGGCTTATCATACACATTTTTCAGGCATTTTACTAACCATCTTCTTTGCATGATGCCAGTCTAAGCAGGGTAAAATTTCCCTACGTGTACATGGCATTGTCATAGTATCAATAGGCAAAATGAACAGTGTCGAGCTGATGTTAAGCAACAGTTATGGTAGAGTAATATGACTGATTTCTATCTAATCTTCTCTAGAACCAGGCGGGTATTTGACGTTAAGCAGTCTTCTTTTTATGTGTATATGCTTGTTAGGTGTTCGCTGAATATTTATCTTCAGTCCTATAAATCTCATCATAACCATAGCATCATACTCCTTCAACCCTCTAGAGTATGAAGTATAACTTACATTGATTGCTAAGCCCTGAAGGAAATCCCTTCTGAAGCGATTTTATACAGAGTACTCCAGATGAACATCGCTTACCTGCATGCACCTCTTCCATTTGGGGATGCGGATGATTTGTGTTGCCGACCCAACTAGTTTGCCTTGAAATGTAGTTGATCTTACTTATCTGTATGGTGAATGCTATTTGTGAATCCTATGTTCGGAAGCTGTAAAACACCAACGAGAGGAAGTATTACAACAGCTCAAGCCAGTTCAATTTAAAGTACTCCCAGTAAATTACTAGATACCCTTTTTCTGTTCGGCTTGAAACAGTTATTGTTAATGCCGTCAGTTTGATGTGTATGTTCATGGGAATTCTAAACTATGTAGTATCTATTAATTCTGTTTTAAATGCTTTTTATGTGTGCACAGGTGAAACATTACTTGGTGCGTCAGTGGAAAAAGATTATATCAGGCAGAGTATCTCTTCAGGATTTTGTCTTTGCAAAAGAGGTACGCTTAGGCACCTATTCTGCACAGGCTTTTTCACTTCCACCAGCAGCAATTGTTGCCACTAAGGCAATGAGAGTCGACCCTAGGGCAGAACCTCGGTATGCAGAGAGAGTACCTTATGTTGTGGTTCATGGTGAACCTGGTGCCAGGCTGGCTGATGTCGTGGTAGATCCCTTGGATCTTCTTTCGATTGATTCACCTTACAGGTTGAATGACATATATTATATCAAGAAACAGATAATCCCAGCTCTGCAACGAGTATTTGGGCTCGTTCGAGCTGACTTGAATCAGTGGTTTTCAGATATGCCTCGTCCGGAGCGGGAGGCTGCTGGTAAACGTCACCCATTTGCTGCAAATGCGCACAGAACTAGAATTGATTATTACTATATGTCAAAACATTGTATCCTATGCGGTGAGTTGATCCAGGCATCTAGTTACGTCTGTCAAAACTGTTCCAGAAACGAAGCTGTAGTTGCAGCTGCATTAACAGGAAGAACTTCAATATTGGAAAGAAACATCCGACACCTTGCTGCTGTGAGTATCTAACTCATTGAGCATTATCTTCTTTTTATAAAATTGATATTGGTACATGTTAGCACAAAAACATATGGCTCCGCAAAATCTGGGTTGATAATGATCCTTTTTTCTTCTCCCCCTACCTGCTTATTGAGCTTCTCCTTTCTTCCTTTATATTTGTCATCGATAGAACCATGATAATGATCCACTAAACAGAACACATTTTTTCCTGGGAAATTCCCCCCTTGGGCTACAATATTTTAAAATTTTCTTACACTTCGCAGCATGTTATCTCTGATATGCATGCTTATGATTATTACATCCTTCTAGATATGTCGGCACTGTGGAGGAGGAGATTGGCTTGTAGAAAGTGGGGTGAAATGCATATCTCTTGCATGCTCTGTTTTCTACGAAAGGAGGAAAATCCAGAAAGAACTGCGATCTCTTTCTGCTGTTACTACAGAAGCAGGTTTTTATCCCAGTTGTGTCGTGGAATGGTTCTAACTAATGCGTCTTCTGCGTCAAAGATGTAGTGTGAAGGGTATTTAGGTATCTAACGAACAAAATTTATACATATGTTGTACCACATTATATGAATTTTTTGTAAATATAAATGTATGTACTTTCCCTAGTAGATCTTCTAATAGTCCTGTAAAATAAATTAAGCCTTGTATACTACGAATCTGATTTTCATCGGAGTATTTAGTAATGGAACATGTAATTCAAATGTTGTAAAGAAATTTGTATTTTCCTGACAAAAAATAAAAGTTATTCTTGTGTGGTAAGTTGATGTCTGGGAATCCGGTTCTGCTACACCATATGATTATCATCGGATAATGACTCAAGAATGTAGTTGGCAGTGGCCACCAGATCTTTGCCATTTATCTTTTTATTATCTAAGAATAAAAGAAAACCTGAAAAATGTTCCGTAATTATAGAATTAATGGCATAGAAGTATTTAGTTCCTTGTCGAAACTCCTAGCAACCTTGGTACTGTGGTACACTGTTTAAAAGGCTTTTTTGCGACTCGCCTCGGGGCTCGCCCCGGGGCGGGGCACTATCAACACATCTTGAGACTTATGTGTGAGACTTAGTTCTCTGAGGCTTACGCCCCTAGGCGCCCGACGGTGCGCCCTAAACACGCCTAACGCTCAACGTTCGGGACTCGCCCAATAGTTCTTGTGCAAATCATATGTTGAATTCACTAATTTGCACTGTTAACTGTCAAAATTCTTTAACAAATGAATGATTAAAGTTCTTTTTATCTATAGAAATATGAAAATTGTGAATAACTCAAATAACGAAATATATTATTGTATACTTACTAATTGGGAACATCGTGAGGGTGAATATCATTTGAATATTTCTTCTAAAAATAGATAACCAAAATTTATTTCTTTACTTGATAGATCTTCATGTCTTAGTTCTATATCTCTCAAAATTATCATAAATTTAAATTATCATAAATTTTTTATTATACTATTTAAAAATAATTTTATGTTTACTTATGACGGAGTAATATTTTAAATTACAATATTAAAAAATTTATTGTGTATTACTTTTAAAGAGGTAAAATATGCAGTTTGATAACATTTTTGAAGAAATTATAATTTTTAATTATTTGAAAGTTAAGAGATTGGAGTTAATTTATATTTCATAGTAACTTTAAACGTATTGTATTATTTATACTTGTAAAATATGCTAAATATTTTATTTTATATGATTTTCTTTAATTCTTTTTAGTTTTCTTGAATTTTTAATGCATCCTTTATATTGTATTGTGTTGTAATGCTATATTATTAATTCATAAATTTAAAAATATTAAAGATTTGTGGGGCTTACGTCCCATGTCTCGAAGCTTTCGCCTCGCCCTTATTAAGTAAAATGCTCCGTTTCACGCCCTCGCCTTTTAAAACATTGTTGTGATAGTGGTACACACATCTTGTCAAGCAGTTTGTGCGCTTCTCGGGTTAGCTTGTCAGGTGAATGTACGTAGTGGATGTATCTGTTCTTTTGAATTGTCTTTGTCCGTAGCTGCCATTTAGTTAAACTATTCAAAGTTCCCTTTGTTTAATACTTGTTGACTACCTAGAATTTTTAAAGCGACATCTAATAGCAGACGGAATGGAGAAATTGAAGGAGATAATGATCAATATCAAAACGATCATATCTTATTGATTTAGCTAGTGGTAGATGTTTAACTCAAAAGATATTGGGATCTTTGAATAAAATAATTTAAGAAAATGAAGGGGTAAATCTTAGCTAAGTATAATAACCTCTAGAACAAAAGATACACAAGGTGAATACAGAAGGTGATATTTCTTGGCCTCATCAAGATGAATCCTCAAACAGTAATGACATCAATTGCTTATGTAAGCAAGTATCACAACAAAGTGTTCTTAGTTGGAAAAATACAGAAGAAGCCACTTACAAGGTGGTTGTCTTTATGCAATATATATAATGGTCAAACCCCTTCTAAGCCCTAAAAGACAAATCATAGAGAATATTCGAAAGAATATTCCTAATGCCTGCGAATGGACCTACACTACTGCAAAGGTCGTACAGTCTCTTGTTCGCTCGTCTGTCGTCCCTTGCAGGATGTCGAGCTATGAGGATCTCGCCGCTTGTCGTACTCATCAACATTCGTGGTCGTCCAAATTTGGACCCATACAGTTAGTCCCTCCGCTTGTCGAGGTTGCAACTTGGTGCGTCCTCGATAAGCGGACACCACTCGCTCTTATGGAGAAATTTGGTCTTACAATGCGTTACGGCTTGGCCAATAATGGGCGGTCAGCGTGCTCAGCAAGACACCAGATAATGTATTTTATCGGGAAATGATGTCATCTCCACGTGCGTCATCATTATGCGTGTTTTCGAGATAGGGGTTGAGGGCTTGCCGCTTCGATTTCGGTGCCACTCTGCAACCTTCCGCTTCGATTCTGGCGCCACCCAATCCTATAAATAGGTGGAGAGTTTGTTTTTTCAAAAACTCTTGGCCATTTCGTTTCTGGTTATCCTTTCTCATTCCTCCCGAGTTTGTTCTAACAACCTTCTGCTTCTTCTTCTCCCATTCTTCGTTCACAACCTTCTCTATTGTTTTAACACCTTTTTCATCGAAGAAATGCCAAGAACAGATCGATCTCGTGAGGGGGTTTCTGAGGCCGCCCCGTTGTATGTGGCGCTCCCCTCTGGCAGTGAAGATATGATGGTGGAGAGGGGGATAGTTTTCCCACTGTGGAGGAGTTGCTGCCGAGACACCCCATGTCTCGAAGCAACTTCCTCAAGGATCCTCCTTCTACTCCTGCCCCGTGCTCTCTGAAACGGAACAAGTTCACATTAACGCTCTCCGTACAAAGTATAACATCCCCGTTCATGTTGACATGGTTCCAGCGGGAAGGGACTTCGTGGAAGTCCATAGGCCTGAGTACTGTGCTTTTTATAAGTACCCTTTCGTGATTAGTCATTCTTTCCCCCTCCTTCCGTTAGTGGAAGAGTTTTGTAGATTCTATCAAGTTTGCCCGGCGCAATTTTTACCGTACACACTTAAGATACTTCTGTTGTTGACAAAGTATACGGAGTTGGCGGGATGCGAGGTTACTATCCACTACCTCTTACACCTATTCTCGACCAGTTTCCATAGAGGCACTATGGTGAATTTGAGGCACCGTGGAACAAAAGGGCTGGTGGTTGGGACCGACAACTTAGCAAGTCACAAGTTTTGGCATAAGTACTTTTTTGTCAAAACCGAACACATTGTTTCCGACCCCGCCAGGTTCCCGGAGTGGTGGAACGAGACTCGTAAGTGTCGCCACTTATTTTACTCTTTCTTTTCCTCTTCATTCATTATAGGGTTTGTTTGCTTCTCGTTTGTAGCTATGGGGCGTCCATCCCACCCTATTGCAGGTATAAGGGATTGGGTAGCCCGTCTGTTGCCCCATGCAACGGAGACCCAAGATTGGCCTGCCTTCGTAAAACGTTACGGCCCGAGAGTTTCATTTGGTAAAAATTTTCCCCTATATCACTTCGTTGGTTATACAATGCCATCTATTGATTTGACTCTTCATGACGACAGGTCGAGGAGCTTCCAGGCGGAGGGCCCTAGTCCCTGCATTCTGACAGGCTGTCGCTGCTGCAGGAATGCAGTTTACTTTGACTGAATCTGTTCGAGGGGGTGGTCCTCAGCCGATTCAAATGGAAGGTCCCTCTCGGGATATGGTCGTGAGGGAGAAGGCATCTTCCGTACCGACCCTTCACCTCTTGGACAAATCCTCTAACAGGGACGAGTTGTTACTGAGAAAAAGGAAGGGAGTGGAGCTTGTGAAGTATGTGCCCGTGGACATTGGTAGAAGTAGGGTGGGTATGTCGCAGACGGCACCTGTGGCCACATTTATGGCTGACGCCGTCTTAGCGGGGAGGTCTCCCCAAACGGAAGTGGTTTACCCAGGAGCCGGCATCGTGCGCTCCATTGAGGGTGGCGCGTCATCCAACATTGGAGGAGGCCTGCGCGTCGAAGGTGAAGGCTCAGGTTCAGATGTCGACCCGAAGGATGTTCGTGAGTTTGTAGGGTGCCATACTCATGTGGAGGTCAGAGTGGAAGGGTCTGATCGTCATATAGTTGTCCCATGTGACTACAACCTGTTATCGAACTGCGATCAAGTGGCGTCTGTTTTAGCCCTTCTATGTGCTGCCCCCGAGAGCGAGGTGCTTAGGGCGATGAGTGACATGGAGTTGTCTCAGAACGTCGCCGGCATGGCCTTGCGGGTAGGTGTCTTTCTTTTCCTTTTCGTCGTTGGGTTTGCATTGTTATTGTCGACTTGTATTTTTGTCTTAACTTCTTTCTTCTTATGCTAGACCCTTATCATAGAGACCGAGCGCGAGCACTGGGAAAGGAAAAGGATGGCCATCTACGAGAAGATGTCTTCCAAATATCAACAATATCGCGCTAAGCATCGTGCAATGACCGACATTTATAATCAGGACCCTAATTTTCAACTATTTCACGAGGGACTTAAACATAGGGAAGACCAACTGGCGCACAAGGTCGAGTCTGAGGGAGCAAGATGAGGAACTTATGAAGGCCGTCGCCCGCAACAGTGAACTTGAGGCCTCCCTTAAGGTGAAAGAAGATGAGCGTGAGTTAAGTAAAGGGGTGATGGCCGAGAATGCCGACTTGCAAGAAAAGGTGGCCAGTTTGACCGCTGAATTGGGTACGAAGGCGGTGGATATTGATGGGCTTAAGGGTGAGTTGAGTGTCAGTGTCGATAAGCTGGCGACTGCTATTTATGAAATGGCAGCCTTGGAAAATACCCTCCATGTCTGTAGGTCGGAGCTGACCAAGGAGAAGTAGGCATCCGAGTTTAAGGTAGCAGGGCTTTAGAAGCGTGTTAAGGAGTTGGAGGCGGAGCTATCCATACTGAATGGGCAAGTGGCGTCGTTGAGAGCAGAGGGCGCGAGTCGACGCTCGCAACCTTCTATGTCTCGTGCTTCGGCCGAACCTATCGTGCCTCATCGTTTATACGAGTTGTAGGTTCATGCTGAGGCCCGACTCGATGCGTACAAGGCTCTTCATGTTAACAGGAGGGCATCTAAACTAGAACTCCAGGGTGTGCGTACAGAAGCTCGTGCAGCTCATGAGGCATGCGGATATGACCCTCTTACGCCCGACGGGGAAGACA